TTTGTGAGTGATGGATTATATTGTTTACGTATATGGCATTGTTTATTGTTTACTTTTGAGGAATAAACAACACAGGAAGAGATGAAAAAAAGTGTGGCTAAATTGACCTCATCAACACGGTGTGGTAGGTATTGTGGTAGGGAGTGTGGTAGGGAGTGTAGTAGGTAGTGTGGTAGGGAGTGTGGTAGGGAGTGTGGTAGGGAGTGTGGTAGGGAGTGTAGTAGGGAGTGTGGTAGTTAGTGTGGTAGAGAGTGTGGTAGGGGTGTGGTAGGGAGTGTGGTAGGTGGTAGGTGTGTGGGGAGTGTGGTGGGTAGTGTAGTGGGTGGTGGTGGTGGTGTGGTGGGAAGTGTGGTGCAGGGAGTGTGGTAGGTGGTGTGGTGGGTAGTGTGGTAGGAAGTAGGTGGGGAATATGGGCGAGTTATGTGGGAGGGGCATGTGGGTGAGGTATGTGGGTGGAGTATGTGGAAGGGACATGTGGTCAGGGCGGGTATGTAGAATAGATGAGCGTAATGGAATGGGGAGAGAGAGAGAGAGAGAGAGAGAGAGAGAGAGAAGATGGAGGGAAGAAGGAGGGAAGGAGGGTGGATGATGAGAGGGAAGGGGGAAGAGAGGGAATGGGATAAAGAAGGGGGGTAAAAGAAGGGAGGAAGAGGAGAGGAGAGAGAATCAACACTATCTTAACTCACCTACCTCCTGAATCTTTATAAACATCCAAGTGACCAATCTAAACATCAACACCTGGTTTAACGTAACATCAGAAAGCAAACATCGCTAAAAATAAACAAACTATAACTTGGCCAAGAATCAGTCAATCACTTTAAATGATTTATATCGCTAACAAACGTCAAGAACACAACTCACAACCTAACCTAACCACATCTAGACAGAGCTAACATCAATTAACCACAGCTAAAGACATCAATAAACACTAAGTCAACAACGAGAGATGACAAACACAGCAGTGGTCTTGTGTTATCATCATCAATAACAACAGCTGATTAATGTAAACAAAAAACACCTGATCTAGTGTCAACAACAACAGCTGATCAATATCAACAAAACACCTGATCTAGTGTCAACAAAAACAGCTGATCAATATATACAAATGATAGCTGACCTGAGCAACACACTAACACACTGTATCTCTTTCCCCTCACAAACTCTTAAATTCATATTATCTTGAAAGCTAAAAGTGTTGGGTAGAAGCTAAAATAAATATATTACCGTGTATTTTTTCTTTTTTAATAATATATATAAGGCTGTATAGCTAACACGGCTGACTTAACAGAATACATAAATTAGTGTTATTTTCTGTAAGTTTACGCTAGGTGATTTAGAGGACAGGTCAACAGAAGGAGTTAAATCCTCTCTTCCTATTCGGGGTTTAAGACGACGATATCCCTTGACAATTATATCCGCCCTAATTATAATAAAAGGCTCTTAGAAGTGATAAAGTATAAGGGGGTGTGTGAGGAGGAGGCTTACTGGATAGTAATACACCACAACATAATCTTGCTGTCGTAATATACACATACACACACACACACACACACACACACACACACACACACACTAGTTGTATAAAATGTATATTCACCACCACGACAGTAGCCTAGTTACTTGTGGGTATAATCTATCAATGCTATTTAGAATTATGCATTATATACATAGTTATACACTAAGGAGTTATGTATTACGTGGTAATTTATCTTTGTAATTTTTATTCTTGGTTTATCGGGGTGATGTATATTGTATTATCTAATTATTTGGTTATTTACGTATTTTTTTTTAAAGGGGCAGTGATTGAGCGAGTCATGTACAGTATGTAGTTTGTATAATGTAAATCACCTATAACTCAAGAAGGAATAGAAATCACACGATAGGTTAATATTAATGCAAAACACATTCATTGTAGCCCAATAGTAATACAAATCACATACTGTAGCCTAATAGCAATATATATCACACACACACACACACACACACACACACACACACACACACACACACACACACACACTCACACACACACACACAATAGCCTACGGAAGTCATAATAAATCATGCATCTCATTCATTTACACGAACCATAAATACAGTATACATTATTATACACCAGAATCATAAAAAAAATAATGAATGTCGTTTATTTTTTGTTATTGTTATTGTTTAGTTATTAAAAAGTGGAAATAAATAGTCAAAAGTAAACAAATTCATCGATAGTCTTTTGTTTGTTTACATTCTGTCGGTACAAAATATTTCGCGCTAAATTTTGTTGTTTTTCATCTGTAGAAAAGATTTAATAATAATAAAAATAAAGGTTTAATAATAATAATAATAATAATAATAATAATAATAATAATAATAATAATAATAATAAACTTGTTTTATATGAGTTTGAAAGTAACATAAAAAAAAATAACTCTCAGCGTTTATCATTTCCTGTTTTTTTTTCCTGCATTCAGCGTCACTTAGTGTAGTGTGAGCATAATAGACACTTAGAACACCACTTAACCTCCCGCAGCACCACTTACTACCACTTAAACATTACGTAATACCACTTCCTTCAGGGGAGAGAGAGAGAGAGAGAGAGAGAGAGCGTCACTTAAGTGGTGTAAGCGTATTATAGAGTCACTTAAAACACCCCATAGCATCACTTAACACCACTTAACACCACATAACACCCCAGACAGACATCCTTCAGTAGTGATTGAGACAGAGAAAGACAAGAGATCAGCGTGGCGGTGTTACAAGCGTGTTACAGGTGTGTTACAGGTGTGTTACAGGTGTGTTAGTAATCAAGACCGTGGTTGTACCTGCAGTAAATGTCACCTAAGTCTACCTGAGGCACCATGCACTCGGCTGCCTTTCATCTTCAAGGTCACGCGATCAAGAGCTACTGCTTGCAAGTTTCTCTGCTTGTGCATGACGTTTCCTTGAGGGGTCACTGTCTTTTGTGCTTGTAAGCTGACTGTTTTAGTTGGTTGGTTTGTGTGTGTGTTTGTTTGTTTGTCTCTCTACTTCTGTGTTTGCTTGTGATTGATGATTTGGTCTTGTGCTTGCTTGTGGCAGTCTGTCTAATCCTGTGTATGCTTGTGATTGGTTGGTTAATCTTCATCTGTTTGCAGTTGGTCGTTTGGTAATTGGTATTGTGCTTGGATATAGTTGATGTCTGCTTCTGTGCTTGACCTTGCTTGATGGCTTTATTTTTGCTTACTTGTGACAGTCAACCTGCTCTCTCTCTCTCTCTCTCTCTCTCTGCCTGCATCCAGTGCTAGAAGTATCTTGGTTCCCGTCTCGTCATGGAATTTCTGCTTATTACCTACTTACTGCTCACTTCTACACCTGTTTACCGACTTTCACTACCTTGGCCTTTTCCCCTTTCTTCGTTTTTCCCTCTCTCTCTCTCTCTCTCCCTCCCTTCTTCACTCTCTCCCCCCCCTCTCCTACTCTCCCTCCCACACTCACTGCTTGCATTCAATATTTGTTTTATTCCTGCTTACTGTCTCACCAGAGTCTCTGCTTGCTAACCGCTTGCTGCTCACTTCAACACCTGCTTAGCGTTACCACCTCCCCACCTCCTTTCCTTCTGTGCTTCCCTCATACAAGCAGCCACACATAACTCAGCTATAAAATGTATTTGTGTCTGACAGCTGAGGTCACTCCCCCAGTGCTTGCTCTTGTGCCTGCATCCTAACCCGCCGCCTTCTGCTTGACACGTCGAGGTCAGTAGCGGCCGTAACTCCTGCTTGCTTGCCTTAACAGCCAAACAAACGCTGTCTCCGGGCTTCCTGCAGTCTCCTGTTGCTTTCATGCACTGATATGCAAGCACTGGTTATATTATTATTATTATTATTATTATTATTATTATTATTATTATTATTATTATTATTATTATTATCTTCACCATTATCAGGTCACCGCCCCCCCCCCTCCCTCCTCCCTCCCTCCGTCTCTCCCTCTCTCCCTCACAGAAAGTTTCCTCCGCTAAGGTAGAGAACATGAATGTTTTCCTTCTTCATATCTTGAGTCGTCCTACGTGCCCAGTCGAACACGATAACAACAATCTTTCCCGCGTCTTGCCTTACCTAACACACACCTAAATGAGACGAAAAGACTGACACACACCTTCCGTTGACCTCTGTCCTTGACTTTAGGTGATCGCTGGAGGCAGGTGGTTGCTGGAGTGAGTTAGTCGCTGGAGGTAGGTGGTTGCTGGAGTGAGTTAGTCGCTGGAGGTAGGTGGTTGCTGGAGTGAGTTAGTCGCTGGAGGCAGGTGGTTGCTGGAGTGAGTTAGTCGCTGGAGGCAGGTGGTTGCTGGAGTGAGTTAGTCGCTGGAGGTAGGTGGTTGCTGGAGTGAGTTAGTCGCTGGAGGCAGGTGGTTGCTGGAGTGAGTTAGTCGCTGGAGGTAGGTGGTTGCTGGAGTGAGTTAGTCGCTGGAGGCAGGTGGTTGCTGGAGTGAGTTAGTCGCTGGAGGCAGGTGGTTGCTGGAGTGAGTTAGTCGCTGGAGGTAGGTGGTTGCTGGAGTGAGTTAGTCGCTGGAGGTAGGTGGTTGCTGGAGTGAGTTAGTCGCTGGAGTCAGGTCGCCTCGTTCGTAAGTCTTTCATTAGATATTCGAAGTCTGATGATTCACTATTTACCATTATATTAAGACGTGACAAAAAGGTTTTAATTCGTGTTATCTATAAGTATTAAGTAGTTCACCTCCTGGTAACCCCGGAGTCTCGTTAATATAACCTTTATTTATGAATCTTTTTTTGTTACATATTAGTTTACGTTCATTAATAATAGGAAATGGCTTCAATATCCTGGTGAATGTTTGTATGTCATCGATGGTGTGAAATATAATAAGAAAAACCTAACCTAACCTAACCTAGCCTAACCAAGCCTAACCTAACCTAACCTAACCTAACCTAGCCTAACCAAGCCTAACCAAGCCTAACCTAACCTAACCTAACACAGGCAATGACTAAGTTCATGACTCTTTCTTCCCCCCACAGGAGAGCCAACACAGCGCGGCGTCACCAGTGCCTTAGTACCAGCAGCTTCCCCACCGCTCAACACCACCACCACCACCTCACCTAACTGCCTCCGTCGTTGTGCCTTGAGCTTCTACAGTGAACGTGTGCCGTGCCTTCTCTCCGTACACTGAACGTCCGACGTGCCTACAGTCCTTAAAGTGAACGTTGGTCGTGCCTTTTTGTCCTTTATGGTAAATGCTAGTCGGGTTTTTCCTCTGCACAGGTGAACGTCAGAGTGCCTTCTTGCTCGTAAAGTTAAGTGAGTGGTGACGTTCTATACCTCTTTGCCTGCACAGTTACCATTCATCGTGCCTTCTGTATCCGTACATTGAACATTCATCGTTTCCTGCTGTCCGTACAAGTGAACGACGGTGATGTTCCATTCTGTGTGTATTGAACAGTAGTCAGTAGCGAGTGGCATACCGCTGTGCCTTTCCGAGTCGTGTTGTGTTCCGAGTCACTCAGTGTTCGTCGCTCATAACCCACGCAATAGTCTCACTAAGATTCTAACTCATCCATTCACTTCACTCAGAGGAAACCTGAAACTCTCCCTAGACGTGTGAGGGAGGCGTGAGGGGTCCGTGATCAGGGGGGAGTGAGAGTGAGGGAGAGGTGCTTGTGAGGTAAGGGAGTGTCGGGTGAAACAGTCGGGGTGGAGTTCCCTGCCATGTTTCCCCCCGGTAGTGCGGGCGGGTATGGGCAGGAGGGAGGGCAGAACCTGCTCTCGCCCTCCATGTACACCTCACACGCCCACACCCACATGCTCCCCTACAACTCGTACTCGGCCCAGCTCGTCCAGCCCTCCACACCCTCGCCCTCCATGTGGCAGTCGCCCGCACACACAGCCCTGGCGCCCACAGCCCCGCCCACCGAGCAGACGTTTTCCACGCCCCTAGGCTTCAACTGTGGGCGTGAGGGGTACCTCCAGGGCGCCGGGAGCCAGAGCCTGCAGACACCCATCAGCCCCTATCAAGCCTACGCCCAGATGAACCATGGCATGTGGCGCCACTACGACTCCATGGGACTTCAGGGGATCGCCAGTGAGTACCACCACCTGTTGTCTTGTCTGTGGGTTAGTTCTCAAGATTCATTAATGTGTTTGTTAGTTTATTAATGTCCGCTGTGGTAGCTGGTCTATACTCGACTGGTTCACCCACTGACGGTACAATGTGTTTATACCCTGAGACAGCGTGACCGACTCCTGCTTGTTTGATGTGAAGGTCATCAGAGGGTCATACACGAGGCCCTCACACAGTCCTAACTAGTGACATACCTGCCACTATTTACACTGGTGCCTATTAGAGCTAGTACCTATTAGGACTTAGGTAATGGGTAATATATTCGGGCAGGGTGAATTACGACTGGGGGTAATTAGTTACTGTGAATCTTCCTGAACTGCTGGAGGCGCTGACGGTGGTGTTACTAAATCCCAGTTGTTAAATGGTAAGGATATGACACTGTGTTCCCGTAGAGTTAATGTATATAATGTGACAGAGAGAGAGAGAGAGAGAGAGAGAGAGAGAGAGAGAGAGAGAGAGAGAGAGATAACAAACAATAATAAAACTACAATAGATTAACTAACAAAGACAATAAATAATAAAATAAATTCAGCAATTTTTTCCCACAAAAGACGAATTCTACGTAAAAAAAAATCCCCTAAGGTAGAATTTTATTGTACTTCAAAATACGACTGGACATGTGTTTAGGCAGATCAAGGTGTCAAGCACAAATTACAAAGGCCATAGTACTTGTAATGTCAATGTCACACACACACACACACACACACACACACACACACACACACACACACACACACACACACATGTTCTCTCTTCATTTACAAACACTTACACACTCTTAGAGGTATAATCAACTCGTTCTAGCAAGGTGTTCCCCCCTCCCTCCCATACCTGTCTGATTTACCTGTGTCGCTTAATTTATTTCCATGTAACATCAGTAATTGAAACTAAATATGCACGACTGAGCGGTGGTGAAGTGGGTGCAGCGTTCACATCCTGTCCTAAGTGTCTTTGGTTCGATCCCCCTCAGCTGGTTCTATAGGCTTGGTGTAGGTGGTCAAGGATATGAGGCTCTCTTTCGCTAATATTAAACTCGTAATTTTTTCTAAGTACAATTTCAGTTTGTTACTTGATAAATAAAATAATCCTTTAGTTAAGACATTCCAATTACTTTTATAAATAGTTTAATCCTTCATATATATTAATTAAAATGGTTTCGATTCTCTTAATTTCTGAAAAAAAAGTTGTTGCGTCAGAGTAAACAATTAAAACATCCTTATTTTGTTTTCCTTATAGATAAAAATACAAAACAATAATGGGTTAAGGTTTTGAGATGTGTTTATGTCTGGGTAATCCTAGAGAAAAAAAATTGTAGTTGTTTTAATTAAATATTCAATTGCTGTGTGAACGTATGTCTGATAAAAAATGGGAAAACAGTAAAGTCTTGTAAAAAATATTGTTCCATCGTCTGTGTGTGTGTGTGTGTGTGTGTGTGTGTGTGTGTGTGTGTGTGTAAGAGACGAGTCCTGTGTATATATCATCTTAATATATTGTATTAGTTGATTTTCCTTTTGAATGAAGAGAAAAAATAATGTAAAAAAATCATCAAAAATCACTTAAATCAATAAAAATAAGAAAATAATTTTTTTTGAGTATATACAGAAACGGTTAAACTCCGATAAAAACCTACGTCTATTAATTGATGCCCTAGCCTGAATAATAGTAAAATGAAACAACCTATAAGAGAAAAAATAAATAAACCACCTAACTTATTTATAGAATAGAATAAAGAGTTGACATCATTAGAGTTGAGAGTGGTGGAGGGAGCCAAGCCTAGCAACAGCGGGCGGTCGATCCAGCCACGGCAGCTAACCCGGTAAGGCATTAGTGTGGCAGCTAGTGGGCCAGGCAATACGTTTACCGATGTAATGAGCGTAGTAAATTGACCGCATTCATCCAGTGTATAGATGTGACAGGTAAAATTAGCGCAATCATAGTGGATGAAGTGCACTGTGATGTAGTTCTGGGTGTAGCACAGTGTAATACAGTGTGAGTTTGGGTTGGACACAGTGGCTAGAATCCTACTGCTAGCTGGTTGGGGAATATCCTGAAGAAGGTAAAATAGTCCTTGGATATATAAATATTTTTTTTATTATTATTATATTATCCTTATATTAATATCCTCTTATATAAAAAAAATCGTATCTTAAGAAATTTTGAATAAATAAATAAATAAATACATTCCCTTTCACAATCCTATTTGTATATCCTAATCCATCATCATCCACATTCTATTATATACATTATAATTTTCTATTCACATCCTACGGTTTTTATAGAATCTAAGTATAAAACATTCGTCTAGGATAGCGGGCCGTATACAGACGATAGCGAGTCATACATCCTAATCCAGTTATTGATGTTGACGAGAATCTACTAAACTCGTTGGATGTCACTTGGTAGACTGCCGATAGCGTCCTTTGGTAAGCCTGTGGTGATAATTTAATAGCGGTGGTGGTGGTGGTGGTGAGGATTACTGAAGTCGTGAGTATTGCTTAAGCTACTGTAGTCAGACTCACTTTATATAGCTTGTGATGATGCAGTGGTCAGCAAGGTTTGGTTAGGTTTGGTTTGGTTAGGTTATAAAATTTTTCCTCGTAATTGAAGATACTAGATACAGGTTGATTTTTAAGTCACTATTTTAACAAATATAACACCTAGATTTAACATGAAAATTACTACACCTGAGGATTTACCTTAATTAGACGATATTTAACCCTTTGACGACGATGATTTAACCCTTTGACGACGATGATTTAACCCTTTGACGACGATGATTTAACCCTTTGACGACGATGATTTAACCCTTTGACGACGATGATTTAACCCTTTGACGACGATGATTTAACCCTTTGACGACGATGGTTAACCCTTTGAGGACGATGATTTAACCCTTTGACGACGATGATTTAACCCTTTGACGACGATGATTTAACCCTTTGACGACGATGATTTAACCCTTTGACGACGATGATTTAACCCTTTGACGACGATGATTTAACCCTTTGAAGATGATGATTTAACCCTTTGACGACGATGATTTAACCCTTTGACGACGATGATTTAACCCTTTGACGACGATGATTTAACCCTTTGAAGATGATGATTTAACCCTTTGAAGATGATGATTTATCCCTTTGGCGACGATGATTTAACCCTTTGAAGATGATGAATTAACCCCTCGTCCTCAAAGGATTAACACCAGATGAAATTAAACTAGGCAGCAATTGTTATGTTAGTGTTCGTTAAAATTGTTAGAGTTCGTTAAAATTATTAGAGCTCGTTAAAATTGTTAGTGTTCGTTAAAATTAGATGTTAAATAAATGTATCAAGGTATAATAAAATCTTAGAAGAATTTGATGCTAAATTCGTATGTTATATTTTGCGTTTCCAGGTGAAGTTAACCGGATATACGAGGAATTTTGATCTTACAAACTTTTGAAAGTACAATTGGTGTACAAACTCGTATATATAAGATAAACTTTGTAGCCCAGGAAATAAGAACTAATTTTTACATAAGAGGTGTAATTTTCCCGCCGCCGTTAGGGAAATAACATTGCGGTTCTCAGTTATTTTCTTTTGGCCGCTAGATGGATAATACAGTGCTTATGTATACGTCAATATGTAATATCTACTGAATTTATTTTATATTTCTGCCTTATAACCTTGCAAAGTTAATACTACGACGATATTTAGCGAAATTTATGGCGTAAATATTGTTGCTATTTCCTCCAAGCAACAGTAATAATATAAATTTCAAAATAATATTGGTATTTTTATTCTCGTTATGAGGGGAGAAAAATATAATGGTAAAATTTATTATTGAATTTTGGGTGTAAAAAAAATATATAGTGGAATTTGTTCACAATATTATGATAGTAAAAAAAGTTATATTGGGATTTTTAATTTTCTTTTAGTGAAAAATAATAACGTGATTTAGAAGACTGCGTTTGTTGATATGTGAAACGAGACTGAATATTGGAACGTTTTGAAGAGCTGGGAAGCTATGTGAAGCGGCTAGGATCCCTCGGAGTTAAGAGAGAGTAACTGGGAGCTAGGAAAGAGGGGCTGGGAGTCAAAAGGAACGGCTGGGAACTGACAAGAGGAGCTAGGAGAGTTTTTTAGTGCTCTGGGAAGAAGAGGAAACATCAGACGGGATTGCTATGATTGACAGGACCTAGGAAAGTAGTGGAGGATGTGAGATTTAAGCAGCTGGGAGGATTGACAACAGCCAGCTAGGAGACGTAAGACGATGCTAGGAGGACAGTCAAAGAGGTAGACAAAGACCCCCAGGTGTTTAAAAGAGGGAAAAACTGCGGCATAGAAGTCTTGGCGTCGGAGTAAAGGCCTGTAAAGACCCGTAAATACTCGTAAAGACCCAAGGATTTAGGAAGACTTTTACAGGGAACTACAAAAGACCTTACCAATTAACAAAGACGAACATAGGGTAAAAAAAAAGACCCCTGGACTTAAAAAAAAAGACTAAGACGGAGGAAAATTCAAAGACTCATTGAGAAAATAACAAAGACTATTGTAAGAGTAAGATAAAATTATAAAGACCGCCCTGGGTAATTAAGGGATCAGATACTACGCGGTATATATTGAATGAACTAAAGACCCCCTCCCCCCCTCCCCCCTCCCCCCTCCCAGGAGATAAGAGGGCGGAGGAGGGGGGGGGGAGGTGGGATGGGGGATACTGCAGCAGAAAATATTGGTAAGGGAATGAAATAATGTCCCTGAGACCTAGGAGAATGACCCAGGAACACAATATGGGATCCTGAGAGCTAAGAGAATGATCTAGGAACACAATATGGGATCCTGAGAGCTAGGACAATAATCTAGAAACTATATATGACACCCTGAAAGAGGAGAGAATGATCTGAGAGTTAGACAAGACTCTCAGGGCTAGACATATAACCTGATAACAAAAATAGATGGCCCTAGGAGTCGAAAGATAGATC